CTCGCTCACAGCTTTAATGCCAGTAGCTCACAAAATAGAATTTTGACTCACAAGACTCCACAGCTTAGAGGGAGCACTGACAAGGTACCTTGCATTAAGGAAGCAGCATTCTTTGCCTAGAACACCACAGCTTCATAGAACATAACCAAACCACATTACTTTAAAAGAACACATAACAGAACCTGGCAACTTCAGGTTAAGAAAAGCTAAAAGGTTAATACCGTTAATATGAAGATTTAACACCCCCATGAATGTCTTGTCTGTTTGTATGTTTTAATGTTTGTATGTTAAGTCGGTAATGTTATTAAAAATTAATAAAATGTTGCTCTTCGGGGCAATTAAAAAAAAAAAGTAAGGAAAAGAAAAGCCAAAAGGTACCCAAGAGAAAAGGAGCTGCGGTGGCTCAAGTGGTTAAGCCGCTGAACTGCAGGCTGTGGAAGGTCAGTAGTTCAGCGGTTCAAGACCCGGGTGCCGCAAGACAGGGTGAGCTCCTGTCTCTAGTTCCAGCTCCTGCCAACCTAGCAGTTCGAAAGCAAGAAATTGCAAGTAGATAAATAGGGACCACTTCGGTGGGAAGGTAACAGCGTTCCGTGCGCTTTGGTGTTTAGTCATGCCGGCCACATGACCACGGAAACGTCTTCGGACAGCGCTGGCTCTTCGGCTTTGTAACGGAGATGAGCACCGCAACCCTAGAGTCGGATTCGACTGGCTTTCGAGCAAGGGAACCTTTACCTTTACCTTTTTACCCAAGAGAAGCCCTCAGAGATTTGAAGGAAGATACAGAGCTAATTAGATTATACAATAGGCAACAGGAGGCTGATAGATACAACCCACATGAATTGAACTTATTAAAATGACAGCTACTTATGGGAACTGTAACTTTTGCTAACTATTTTCTATTAATAAATGAGTTAAGTAGTGAAAGAACAAAAAAATGAGAGGCTATTGTCACAATACATGTCCTCACCATTTTGATGTATTTGTCTTAGATTTGCAGGAAAGATAAATGTCTATATTCCCACCCAATACATGGTAAGTAGGCAAAAACATCTGCACCAAATAGATGGGGGAATGTTTCACCTTTCTCCACCTACCCAGTGTCCAATTTACACCTGCTTTGCATGCAAAAATGTGTATCTCCGGTTAAAAAGGTCAGCAAAGTAGATGAAGCAAGAGCTTTCCAACCTTCTCAGTCTCAAGCCCTCTACAAGGAGAGGGGGAAGAGAGAAGGTACAGAATTCAGGCTTCATTGCACTCAAGTTTGAGGCAGTGAGCTGGGACTCACAAATGCTCATCTTGAAATTAATGTTAGACTTCAAGGCACCAAGGAAACAGTTTTCGAGCAAGGCACCACTGGACTGTTATTTTCAAGCAATCAATCAAGCAATCTTGATTGCATTAGCAAAAAAACCACCACAGCAACAATACAAAGTAAAATGCCAAATGTCCAACAAGATAAAATTTGAAAAATAATAATGAAAAATTGGACATTTTAACAGATTTTTTACAGAAGTTTTACAGAATACAAAGTCATCATTAAAATATGTCTAATAGTAAGAAAGGAAGACCATACAGCCCAGAGACAAATTACAAATGACACATGACCCAGAATAGAGCAGTCAAAGGTCAGGTACACTTTGGTCAGCACACTCCATCTTTCTACCATTTATGATGGCAGTACCATTTCTAACCAATAATATGACTAATTTTTCCTGGTTTGACCTTCCTGGAAGTGGGATATTATGGTCCACAAGAATCTACTATGTTCAGCCTTACGTCTTGGACACTGGAATGTGACGTGGGACAAAACCTCAATGCACTTTTGATCATAGGAGCAGACTCTTTTCCTATAAAATGGTCTTCCAAGACTGCGAGCAGTAAAATATCTAAGCATGCCTTGGTACCTTTCTGTATTTGCAATTCCTTTATCTAAGCATGCCTTGGTACCTTTCTGTATTTGCAATTCCTTTAATTGGTAAAGTATACTGGAAGATTCAGGGGGGAGGGAGATAGTTATCTATAGAATATAGATGTTCTCAAAGTGCCTACCCTAGGCTACAGTGGTTTGAGCACTCTGGTCTAACAATCTTTGTCTGATGAGTAGTTTGACTGCATAGAATCCAAAGGTCCTCAAGTATTCTACTGAGAAGTCAAGGCTAGTCGCTAATCTCAATACAAAACTGTGCCATGAGTTACCCATCATCTCTCCATACATCAAAATCAAATAGCCTGGGTATGTGCAGTGATTATTTTCAGCCAGTAATTAATTACTGTTTTACAAACTGAGGTTATTCTTGAGGGTAGAGCTAATTCTACTCTGATCATAGCCAAGGGTGTTGATGGCGGAACTAACAGCAGGTGTGCAAATTTGTTTTGAATAATTTCTAAAGATTAGAGACTTCCAGAGCCCCAAATTGCTGCTCCATAAAAAAGCCAGGGTACAAGTTTCATTTTATAAATTTCTAAAGATGGAGAAATCAGACAGCCTCCTCTCTTCCTATAAAATCTAAGAATACCAAGGACAGCTTTTTCAAGGTTGTACTTTGCATAGTCAATATAGGCTCTCCAAGAGGCTGATGAAACATCACCCCTAAATATTTAAAGCTAGAGACCTGTCCTAATGATTTCTTGTCCATTGTCCGTATATGATAATGCAGTCTTCTACCAAAAACCATAATCTTGGTTTTGTCATAATTAAATAGACTTTTTTTTTTTTACAGTAAGAGCTGAACTGTCTCAAAAGCCTTCTAAGACCAGTTTGAGTATGGGGGAATGCGTCATCCGTGAAGAACAAAACTGGTCTTTCTGCCTACTTTGAGTGGAAAGAAATGAGGACCCAATGGGAATTCTACCATATCATTTACCTATAGATTAAAAAGCAGTGAGGCCTAAATACAGCCTTGTCAGACCCCATTTGTGGTTTAAATGAGCTAGACAATTGGCCATGGACACCTAATCTGATCTTTAAACTGGTGTCTGTATAAAGGCCTTTTATACGTTCTAGTAGCTTGTCATCTATATTCATATTAAATTTCTCGATAAATGGTATCTTGAGATGGAATCAAATGCAGCTTTGAGACCGATTAATACCACATATAGTAGCCTAGATGATCTATTTGGATATTGATTGATAAGGTGTTGCAGTAGTAGGCTATGGTCCAGGGTAGAATGTCCCTCTCTAAATCCAGTTTGCTCTGGTGGTCAACAAGTTATTTTCAGCTTCAATATTTATTTATTAGAATTTTTCTTTTGTCACCACTCACCCAAAGGGTCTCATGGCAACCTACAACATTAAAACCAACAGGGTAAAAACAACATAAATATTAACATTAAACTATTAAAATATGTGGATACCACCATATTACCAATAAAAAGAGCCCAAACACTTGGTTACCTTCCAAAAGCCAACCTAAACAATTCCACCTTGCATGCTATGCAGAAGCTAAACAAGTCCGGCAGGGCATGGGTCTCATCCGAGAGTGCATTCCATAGGGTAGGGGTCACAACTGAGAAGGCCCTTCCCGTAGTGACAGCTAAAAGAACCATCCTGGGGCTAGGCACCTGCAAGAGGCCTGTAGTCTAGAGGATCTGCAGGGAGCGGGGGGGGGGGGGGTAAGGGAAGAGTTGTTTTGCTTAAAGCTTTCCTATTACATCCAGCAGGCTTACTGGTCTACACTTAAGCGGATCAGTATGCGTCTCCTTCTTATAAATTGGAACCACAACAGAAGAGGTCCATTCCTGAGGGAACCTATCAGACATACTATATGTGTAAATGGGTTGGCTAAAACAGGCACCCACCAGTCCTGGAAAACCTTAAGCAAATCAGGGGGGATAAAATTTTCACCCGGGGCTTTATTACCCCTAATTATAGAGATTGGGGATTTTATAAGTTACTTAATGGAATCATCACAGGGCATTCGACTACACAATCCTCATGGGTTTGATCATTAAATAGTTTAGAAAAGTGTTCTTCCCAGTGGTCCTTGGATATATAGTAACCTAACTCATGACTTTTATTTTGTTACAACAGGCTTTACATTCATTCCATTCATTCCATTCATCATCTGCATTCAGTGTACTAGGCCACTCCACTTCCTTCCTCCATCCCCAGTATTGGGAAGGGGGACATTAAGGGAAAAATTCCACAATCAAATTCACCATAGGATGTTAAAAGTAAATGGAGGGAAGGATGCTTGTGTATTGTGTCGTGTGTCCCCCCCCCCCCCTTTGGTCTATTTATACCCTACACAATCTCTGCATTGCAAGCATTAAAGTGGAAAGGAGGAAGGAAGGAAAGCACGGACGTGATGGCTTCCTACACTAAATCACTGATTGTGGGAATGCTCACCTTCTGTTGCTCCCAGCATGTGGGGGGGGGGTTATAAATCCCCACAACCAATATAGCTGTAGGACATTTAGGTGAATACAGAGACAGAGAAAGGTCTTTAAACGTCTCTCTGATGTTTACACTTTAAAAAAAAAAAAGTGGGAAAGCAAATTACTCAAATTACTTATTTATTTGTACAGCAAGGGAGAGAAAAGCAAGCAAGGCAAGCGTGGAAGAGGAGGCGCTCGCCACCTCCCTTCCCACAGCCCAGGGCTTGTGGGGATCCTGCTCTTCTGTGAGGTCCCTCCCAGTGATGCTGTGGGTGGAGGCCCAAGGGCGGCGTGTGTTTGCACGGGCCAGCCAGGCTCGCCCTTCCATCGTGGCGGCGCCGGGCGAATAACGGGGCTCTCCGCAGCCGGAAACCGTTCTACGGGTGGCTGGGTGGGGAACAAGCCTCCTCTTCGGCAGCACCGAGGCGCCATATTACAGCCTCCCAGACAGGCTCCCCCACCTCTCCTCCCCAAGCAGGGCCCGTCTGGTTTCCACTCAGGCCGCGTCCTGGTGAAAGGCTCCCGCCACGCCCGACCTGCGCCTCCGGACGCGGCGAAAGCACCGACCTCGCCCGCCTCAAAGAGGCCAGAGGAGGAGGAAAGAGGCATAAACACACACTCACCCCACACACGACCACCGGCCGAACCGCACATTAAAGCCCAGGTCCTCCACGGGCTTCCGTCACATCTCGCGGGAACTCACTGACACCTCTCTCTGTTTCTCGTTTGCTATCCACTCGCATCTCACCCCCCCCGCTCTCCCCTTCCCCCCACCCGGCGAAGGAGGAGATACTGTCACGTGACGTGAGAGGAGCGAGGGAAGGTAAGGCGGAAAAATGACACGTGGTTGTACAGGGCTACGTCCGCAAGGCGGGGCCGTTGCCGACCCCAGAAGGCTCGGAAAGAGCCGAACAGGCATAGCGTCCCCGGAAAGAACCGAACGGGCTGCGGCTGCGCAGAGAGCCTTGCGGGGGCTGGAGCGGAACGCCGGGAAGCGGAGGGATGGGGGAATCCGAAATGCTGCGACCCTACGGCTGCCAACATCCTGGTGGCACCTGGAGATCTCCCGCTATTACAATTAACCTCCAGACGACCAAGATCAGGTCTCCTGGAGAAACTGGCATTATACCCTGCTGAAGAAGTCCCCTCCTCCCCAAATCCTGCCCTGCCCAAGCTCCACCCCCAGGTATTTCCCAACCCAGAGCTGCAACCCTAATTAAGCCAGGATTTCCAACCCCAAGCTTTTAGGGGGCCCGTTCAGCGTGTGAGGAAACTTTTGTTGGCACAGCCCCCACTGATAACCTTTGAGACGCCCACAAATGAGGGGTATAGGTTGTGAAAGTATTCAGATAGGATTGCCAGTTCTGGGTTGTAAGATACCTGGAGATTTTGGGGGTGAAGCCTGAGGGGGGTGGGGTTCCAGCTAGCTTCAGAGTTGGCCAAGCCCACTACAGCCAAAACCTCTGCATGTGGGTGGCTACAGAGGGAAGGCCTGGAGAGCAAACCCCCCCCCTCGACTCCTTGGCGGGCGGCCAGGGGGCCTCCTGGAAGGATCGGGGAGGCATTTAAATGCCTCCCCATGCCTTTCCTGGCCTTCCTTTCCCTTCAAGGGAGGGGCTTGCCCAGGCAAGCCAAGGAAAGGTATGGGGTGTGGCCTAATATGCTAATTAACTATAGGTCAGGGGTGTGGCCTAATATGATAATGCATTTCTGCTGATGGGTGTGGCCTATTATGCTAATGAGTTCCTGCTGGGCTTTTTCTACAAAAAAGCCCTGCTTGGAGGTACTAGTTTTTTAATTCGCATTGTTGGCGGTAAGCCACGGGTGCGCTCCACTTCCCAGATGTTGGGGTGTGATCGCGCCCAGATAACCCACCCACCATCCGTGCCTCTCCCGCGGCAACTTTGCCGTGTGACTGGGGCAACTGTCACCTGGAGACCAGCTGGAATAGCAGATTTCCAGCTACCACCTGGATGTTGGCAACCCTATATTCAGACTGTGGTTACCAACTATCAGAGCCTGCAGCTCTCCTGGCATTACACTTGTTCCCCTGGAAGAAATGGATGCTTTGAAGGATGGATTTTTTGGCATCACAGCCCTGAGCTCCATATCCTCCCTCAAGCACCACACCCAAATCTCCATGATTTCCCTAGAACTGGCAACTCTAATTCAGAGGTATACTGCCTTGGCATAAGCAGGCTCCACTTAAAAGTCATGGCTTGTTGTAATTAAAGGTAAAGGTTTCCCTTGCTTGAAAGCCAGTTGAATCTGACTCTAGGGCGCTGTGCTCATGTTTCCAAGCCGAAGAGCCAGCGCTGTCCAAAGACATTTCCGTGGTCTTGCAGCCAGTGTGACTAGAGGCGCACAGAGCGCTGTCACCTTCCCACCAAAGTGGTACCTATTTATCTACTTGCAATTTCTTGCTTTTGAACTGCTAGATTGGCAGGGGTTGACCAGAGATGGGAGCTCACTCCGTCACGCGGCACTTGGGTCTCGAGCTGAACTACCAACCTTCCAGCCTGCAGTTCAGTGTCTTCACCACTGAGCCACCGCAGCCTCTTGTAACTAATTGGTACCAAATACTGAAATTTTTTTGCTGGCACCTTTTTCATGGATCAGAGTACCCTCAGGGAACAGTGCTTAGTGACTGGCTAGGATCTGGACCAGGTTTGATTTCCCATTCTGCCATGGGAGCTTGGGCCACACTCAGCCTAACCTAAAGTGTTTTAGTGAGAATAAAATGGAGAACTACAGAAAGCACTCTGGGTCTCCAGTGTGGACAAATGAATAAATGAAGCAAAATAAAAATGCAGAAAGGCTGTGGTTCAGTGGCAGAATCTCTACTTTTTTCATACAGAAGGTCCCAGGTTCAATCCCTGGCATTTCCAGTAACAAGAACCAGGAAGTAGGTGATGTGAAAACACCTCTCTGCCTGGAACCCAGAGGGTTGCTACCCGTCTGAGCAGACAACACTGACTTTTGGGGGGGCCTGATTCAGTATAAGGCAGCTTCATGTGTCTGCTTCACAAGAGAAAATTAGAACTATCTTGCTGCTTTGATGGATCTGTCCTGAATTTGAGTACTCAAGTGATTTCATACAGCAATTCAAAGTTTTAGTTTTACCATGGACTTCATATTCCCCTTACGTAACAGACATACTTTAACTTGGATGGTAAATATGGAAAGAAGCTATAGCGAGGCAATGCTCCATCTGCTCGCAGGCAGATCCCAGGTTCAATCCCCTGCCTCTCTAGTTCAAAATTCAGCTAGCAGGTGATATGGAAGACCTCCGAGACCTGGAAACAGCTGGCCCCAGTCAGAGTAAACAACACTGACTCTGTGTAAGGCAATTTCATGTGTTCATGTATTTGTAAAGATGGCCAGGGGCCCTAGTGAACTACTCCTGTTATTCAGAACACGCATACCTGTTTTTTCTTCTGTTGAACACTGTATACCAAATTCCCAAGATACAATTTAAAGCAGTAATTGTGTGCATCACAGCCTTTTACCTGTGTGAAAACATTTTAACTTCTAGCTATACAACCTGTCTAACAACACAGAACTACCCGGCGATTCAGAAGGGCTTACTCCCTAGTATATTTCATTTGTGTTCCATTGTTTTCCCCAATGGGGACCCAAATTGTTCTCCCTTTCTCGATGTCATCCTAACAACCTCACACTGTGTGTATGAGAGAGAGGCTGGCCCATTCACCCAGTATGCTTTCATGGCAGCATGAGGATTTGAATTTGGATCTCCTAGCCTGACAACTCAAGCCACTACACCACATATTACTCTCCAAAGACCTGGAAGCTTCACATACTATTCATCTGCCTCTTCCTGAACTCCACTGTGTCCAACATTTTATAGTACAGTTATGGCGTTTGCCCTCCAGCCCCTATGGACACAAGGCCAGTAACTACTCTTTGGTATGGACTCTAGCACTGAGTTTAATGTCTGGCCTGAAGAAGTTTGGCTTTAGGATCAGTGTTCCCTCTAAGCTGTGTGAGTTGGCTCAGTTTTTTTGTCTCCAGCTCACACATTTTGTCTTAGCTCAGGAACGATGCTCCAGAGCAAACTAACTTATGCAGTAGCCAAATTGCTTGCTCACACCTATCACGCCAGTAGCTCACAAAGTAGAATTTTTGCTCACAAGACTCCACAGCTTAGAGGGAGCATTGTTTAGGATTCAGAGCCATCCATTCCTCACATCCTATCCAACTGGATGGGGTTCATCCAGGATACAGCACTCCATGCATTACAATTTTTCCTGTAGGACATTTCTTATTAAAGCCTTGGTCACAATACTGGGATCAAGAGACAGTACTTTAACAGTCATAGAGCCAGTAGTACTATTCACAAGTCTTTTTAGTGGCTTACTGCAAAAATGGAAATAAATAGGATAGCCAGGGGCGTAGCCAGAAAATTTTGGTTGTTGGGGCACTGACAAAGCTGGGGGGCGGTGGGAGAGAGAGAGAGAGAAATATCCTGCTGGGAGCTGGCCAGTGGATTCCTCTCCCCCACTTCCATGCTAGGCAACCCTCCTCCTCTAGCTGGCTCACTGCCCCCTGCCTGTGCCCTTGCCACAGAGGGAGAACCCTCCTGAAACCAGGCAGTGCAGCAGACTTCCTTTGCAGCATTACTGGAGCTGCGCAGGGAGAAAGCAGGCCTGTAGATATGGTGGGACCTCCCAGAGCTCTACCCCCAACTTCTTCCCAAGGCCCCATAACTTTTGGGGAGAGGCAGGGGCCATGGGCCTGCACTCCAAGCCACGAATTCGTGGCTTGAAGTGCAGGTACGCGGGGGCCTCCCCCACTTCTCCCTCAAAGGGATCCTTTAAATGGTTTTGGGGAGAAGCGAGGGCCATGCAAATTTCAGTGCCCCTCCACTTTTAAAAAGCCCCCCCCCCCAACTAAAAAAATCCTGGCTACAGGCCTGGGAGAAAGGCTGTCTGTGTGGGCAGGGAGAGCCTGCCACTAACTCCAACCTCAGTGTGCCTGCGCCAGGGGGAAGAGTCATGTGACCCAGCCAACATGATTCCTCTCGTGGCACAGGCACACTGCAGAGAGGCCTGCCTGCCTGATCCGCCCACTCCTTGCCCACCCACTCGCCTTGCTCACCTGTTGCCCTGGTTGACACCTGGCCTGGGAGAAGGAGAGCTGGCCAGAATGCATTCACTGTTGCAGAACGGAGATCACACCGGCTGGCTCTCCTCCGGTAGTGTGGCAAACGAATGTGGCTGGCACCGCCACTTTTTTGGGTGGGAGTGGTGGGGTGTGGCCCCAAAATGCCCCACTGCAGCTACACCACTAAGGACAGCCCTCATTAGGCAGAGAAACAGTGATGCCCAGACAGCAATACCAGCCATACTTACTTTAAATGAACAAATCTGAAACTACCTTCAGATTCTCCATTGTGGATAGCAGTACCTCGAACTTTTTCGGTGGACTGTGCTGTAACTCTAGACTCAAGTCTGGCTGTGCGGTGTTTGGATACAAACTAAACCAACACACTTAATGTTTGTGTCAGTCATGGGCACAAATTCAGTAGTATTCTTTGGAGTATAAATCAAGTGTAACATTTTCACTGTTAGGCAGGCAGCCTTCAAGAGAAAAGACCCTAATTGTGGGAAACACTGAATTATGACAAGTTGAAAACTTTATCACCACAGTAAGGTTACGCAAATGCTATTTCCAACTGTCAAGCCACTTCCCACAGCTCTGTAAGACAGGGATAGCACTGACCTCGTGTTTTAAATGGAGGATTAGTTATGACTGACAGAATAGCAGCTTTCCTAAATCCACTTAGGATCAAACTGGACAAATCTGCATTTAGGAGCAGAATCACTGCAACCCAGGGGGCTCCCAAGTTCAGATTGGGGATGTGCAGGCAGAGGGATTTTAACCCTTTTATATTCACAGTTCGAAGCACAACATTGGCCATTATTCAGGGTTAACGGGGGGGGGGGTAGTTAAAGAGAAAAGCCTCCTACAAAAAGTATTACTTACAGCTTTGACTGCCAGGCTCACTGGGTGGCAGTGCATGACTAAACTAAGGTCTGCGTGCCCAGGGTGAACTGCCAACATCTACAGTGCTGCTCCATTAAAGTTCACCAACAGAGGATTTTCCTGGATCGGGTATTAAAAGCTTCCCAAAACTAAACAGAACCAGAATTCTCTGGACAAACCATCCATGCTCTACTGCCCAAGGGGGGAGGAGAAAAGAAGAAGCCAACATTAAATTACAGGCCGCAGCCCAAGTTTAAACTCGTTACCATCTTTAATTAAACTGCTTTGGAAGGAGCATACGTTTCCATGATAAACAATTTCCGAGCCCGAGTACACAGAATCACATTCGTAGTTCACTAATCCCAGAGTTCAGCAGTTCTCTTCACATGGCGAACAGGATCAGGAAAGCCACCATCAGACAGAAGAGACCCATAGCTTCAGACAGGGCAAATCCCAAGATAGCATACGAGAATAACTGCTGCTTCAGGGAAGGATTTCTAGAACAGAAAGTCAGGTAGGAGCCGTTTTAATGTACAAACAGTAAAAGGAAGTAATTCGGGTTCTAGATGGATGTATCCATTTAAATTTTAGTTAACTATACAATGAAGAGCTCACGTCACCTTTAGGCATATAGCAAAACAATTATACACAAGCTTCATCAGAATCCCCGTGCAGGGCTGATCCCGGAGCTGTGATAACTTAACACAAGTCTGAACAAGATTACAATTGCAACACTCATTGCTCCCTACAAAAATGAGGGAACCACACTAACAAGTACAAGGTTTCCATTTGGCTGCATACGAAGAAGTGTAAGACAAAATGGTAAACTCTAAACCAACCTAAATTCAATCATATTTGGTGGAGTAGAAGCTGGTGGCTACACTTAGATTTATGTCCCACTTTTCTACTTACAAAGAAGTTAGTAATTCCCAGTGGCTCCCCTCCCCCCGCCCCCAGTGGAACTGTGTGGTTTCTACTCAATTTCTTGATGCAGCAAATGTTTCACTCTTATGTCCATGCAAAAATCAGGAGAGGCTTGAATGGCAAAGCACAGTGGTCCAAACAACTTTTCTCCTGACTGAAAAAGCAGAAGAGAAGGATGCTTTCTGACTGTCCCAAAAGCTATGTTGGGGCAATTGCAGAACATGCATGAACAAAAGCCATTGGGGAGGGGAGATAAATAGGTATTGACTAGAAAAGCTGATGAGATCCAACTCCTAGGTATTTCCTTAGACTATGTAGTGCCAGTGTTCCCTCTAAGCTGAGTTAGTGTGAGCTAGCTCACCATTTTTTAGCCTCTGGCTCACACATCTTTGTTTTAGCTCAGTAAGGATGGTTCCAGAGTAAACTAATTTATGCATTAGCCAAATCGCTCACTCACAACTTTAATGCCAGTAGCTCAGAAAGTAGAATTTTTGCTCACAAGCAGGGCTATTTTGGGGCAGGAATGGCAAGGAAAGAAGTTCC